TTATAATTCTTGTGGGTAACTATAAAAGTACATCTTATAATTTTACCTTAATAAATTATATAATGAGATCTAATACTAGTAGACACCAATTTTTGTTCAAACCTTATTGTTTTTTATTAATTATTTTATTTATATTATTTTGAATTATATTAGTTAACTCTATTAATATTATTACTATTATTATTATTATCGTTTAGATTTTTTATAGAAAGTCGCTAGTTTTTTTTTTTGTTGAAACAGGTACAAAGGGCTATTTAGCTGTCCGTTCTATTAGAAATTAAAAACTTCTCACCTTCCTTGGGAGAGTTTTGCAGCAATATTGTATCCCCCTGGTAACTCCATATCTGCTTGGTGATAATATTCGCTACTCGATTGACCTCTCTAGGTATGTGCTTTAATTCAACCATCCAATTTCTCTTGAGCAAAATCTCTATGTGCTGGAGAATAGTTAATTTTCTGTGATCAGTCTACTTGTTTCTAATGAGGTTTATGGCTTCTCTACTATCAAATTCCAGAATCACTTTCCTTTCGCCCTTCATCCATGCAACATTTAACCCTTCATGAATTCCCCAAAGTTCTTCTTTCAAGATTGAACGAATCCTGATTTTCTTTCCAAAACCCCAAATCCAGTTTCCGTTATGATCTCTTGCAATTCCCCCACACATAAATTCTCCCGTATTCTGTTGTTTGGCTCAGTCTGTATTTATCTTGCAATAGTTTCTGACTGGTTTTTTCCATTTGTAGTGATTGTTATTTCTGCTTTTTGTATTTCCAATCTTGGTAATTTCTGTATTCTGAATATCTTGGGATAGTCTTATGGCTTGTTGAATAATAGAATCTCTTTCAATCATTTTCGGGTACCATATAACAGCGCTGAAGAATGTAGACCAGTTTTCGATCCTCGGCGAAGGGGATTGGCTTGTTTCAATGTTTTTGATTATCCACTCATTTATGTTGATACTCAGGAACTTCTCTATTTTCTGGGTACCCAGTAGATCAATCCATATCTGCATAATTTTTGGGCAGAATCTCATCAAGTGGTTGATATCTTCTGACTCATAATAACACATAGGGCATCTTTCATCTGTGGTCATATGTCTACGGGCTCTTTCTGAGTTGGTCAGTAATCTGTCATTTCCTATAACCCATAAGAAAGTTTTAATTATGGGGATGCTTTTATGCTTGGCAATGGTGCACCAGATCTTCTCATCTGTTGAGTTGATATTTGTTATCTTCTTATATGTAGATTTGACAGTGAAGACTCTTTTATCCGAGGGAATTCAGCCTGGGGAATCTGCGATGCTTACTTTTATAGGAAGAAGTATAGCTTTCAATTTCTTGATGATTTGGTCTGGAAGTAGCCGATGAATCTTATTCTAATCCCAAGTACCATTATGGCTGATCATCTCCTTTACTTTGGATTTGTCATTCTCCACTTCAATTGGATGTATGCATGAATTTGATAAAGGGTGATTCTGATCTAGCCATTTGTCGTGCCAAAATTGAACATGATTTCTGTTTCCAATGTTCCAGCAGATATTCTATTTAAACTCTATCCAAATATTGCATATGTGGTTCCAAAGAGCTGATCCTCCCTTCTTAGTTAATTTCTCAGGCATGATTCATTCCACTTTATATTTGTTTCTCATCACCTGCACCCATTAAAGATCATTTCTATTAATAAGTTTATAAGCCAGTTTAAAAAGGAAAGCCTTGTTTTGCACCCTTAAGTTCTTTAGGCCTTGTCCCCTATCTTTGATCGGTTTACATAGGGTAACCCAGTTCACCAGATGAATTTCTTTCTGATCATTAGTATGTCCCCAGATAAAATTTCTTGTAAATCTTTTCAGTTCATCATATGTTCCTTTAGGGATTAGAATTCACTGCATAGTGTATACTGGAATTGAGTTGAGGACAGATTTAGCAAGAGAGATTCTTCCCGCCAACGATAATGTCTTAGCCTTCCAACCTGAGAGTCTGTCTTTAACTTTCTGAATGATACTGCTATAAGTACTTTTATTGATTCTGTTGTGTAATAGAGGAACTCCCAAGTAATTTCCAAGATTGTAGACCTCTTTGATTCCAATCATATTCGTAATAGTGTCTCTGGTTTGAACATTCAAATTGCTTGAATAAAATATACTGGATTTCTGTAGATTAACTTTCTGACCCGAATTGATACAGAATTTTTGGAGCGTGTTCTAAATAACCTTAATTTGGGACTTGTCTGCTTCAGCAGAAAGTATAAGGTCATCTGCAAAAAAGAGGTGAGAAATGTTAGGACCCTTTCTAGATAGTTTAATTGGTTTCCACTTACCTTGATCCATGGTTAATGCAATTTCTTGCGCTAATCTTTCCATGCAGATGACGAATAGGTAAGGCGAAAGGGGATCACCCTATCTAATTCCCCTAGACGGTTTAAAAGGCTCTATAAGAACTCAATTCCAGTTTATTTAGATCGTCGTGGAGGTAATACAGTTCATAATAGCCATTTTAATTCTATTAGGCAAGCCCAACTTCTCAATACTATCTCTAATAAAGTTCCATTCTAATCTGTCATAGGCCTTTTCCAAATCGATCTTGATGGCCAGGTACCCATTTTTTCCATTCTTTTTCTTCATAGAGTGAATAACCTCTTGAGCAAGGATAATGTTGTCAGTAATAACTCTGCCTGGTATAAAGCTAGTTTGGCTATTAGAAATAAGAGTAGGAAGAATAGGTTTTAAGTGGTTAACGATAACTTTGGTTATAATTTTATAGGTAACCTGACAAAGGCTTATAGGTCTAAATTGTGTAATTCTATAAGGGTTTTCTATCTTAGGGATTAAAACCAAACACGTTCTGTTTAAAGCTTCTTCAATTTGGCCACCATTGAGATAATGTTTGACTAGATAGAAAACCTTTTCTCCAACAGTATCCCAATTTCTCTGGAAGAAGTTAGCATGAAATCCATCTATTTCTAGAGCTTTTAGAGGGTTCATACTGAAAAGAGCATCCTTAATTTCAATGTTCTCAAAAGGTCTATCCAACTCCATTGCTCACTATTCAAATTAGGAAAAAGGTCTAGAATTTTCAAGAGATTATTTCACTAAAGGATATTTTGTGAATAGTTTTTCATAAAACTTTTTAACATGGTTTTTAAGCATTTATTGATCTTTGCATCAGGTATCAGTTTCAGTTTTGAGTGCTGTAATAATTTTTTCATACCCTTAGTAATCGCACAGGAATGAAAGTACTTGTTATTTTTGTCTCCATGTTTAATCTAATTGCATCTCGCCCTTTGAGCCCAAAGAAGTTCTTCTTGTCTTAAAATTTTGTCAAGTTCAATCTTGAGATCAGCTTCAAGAATATTCAATCTGTTCAAATTATGGTGACGAAGCGCTTTATCAATCCCTTTAAGCCTAGTAATTAATCTTTTCTTCTTCTGGTTGATATTACCAAAAACTTCACTGTTCCAAACCTTGATGTTATCCTTGATATGATTGAGACTATCCATAAGGTTCTCATGTTTAACCCACTTTTTTTTAATGAATTGTTCAAAATCTGGGTGATCCAACCAAGCTGCCAGGAATCTGAAAGGTTTCTGTCTAGACTCTTTGTGGCTGTTCATAGTATGCAAAAGAATAGGACAATGATCAGATCCCATTTTGTCAAGGTGTTGGACTCTAGTATTTGGGTATAACTCTAACCACTTCAAATTCATAATGCATCTATCTAGTCTTTGCCATAGATTACCCCGCCTCCAAGTAAATTCATCACTTTGGAAATTAACATCAATCAGATTGTTGTTGAAAATAAAATCTTGGAAATGTTTACTTCCTCCTCTGTACCTACTACTACCACCTGTTCTCTCATCAGGACTCATAATACAATTAAAGTCTCCTCCTAGAATCCAAGGTTCATTATTGTAAGGATTGAGTTTTTCTAGGAGATCCTAAAACTTACAACGAATGTTTGGGTTGGGGCTAGTATAAATTACCGTAAATAATTTCCAACAGTTACTGTTATTATCCTTAATCTGAGCATGGACAAACTGGTTAGAGATACTTAAAATTTTCACCTTAACTGAATTATCCCAAAGAATCCAGATGCCTCCACTGTGACCCTGAGCTTCGATTCTAAATGAGTTGATGTAACCCATACTATTGATAATTTTGTCAGCTCTCTTACCACTTGTGTGAGTCTCCATCAGGGTAATAATCTTGGGATTGTGCATAATTACACAGTCTTTAAAGTGTCTTCTAAAAGAGGGTTTAATAACCCCTTGAGTATTCCAAAATAAAATCCTCATAATTATTGAGTTAACGGATAGGAGATTTGTACCCAATTCTTCTCCTTCTGTTCACCATCTTGATTCTGATTCAGATCAGTTTGCCCCAGTGATTGACTATGGTTTTTTGTAAGGTTGTTGTTATCAGGGGGAGCCAAATTCTCAGAGTTCACGGAATTTTCTTGAACCCATTCCAAAATTAATTGAACATTAGGACTGGTAGAAGGTTTAGATTTTCCAATTTTCATACCTTTTTTGGTAAAGTGGGAAACTTGCTTTGATTTTTTATTGAGGTTCCATCTAGAAGTACGATTTCGTATGCTGTCCTTATCATGGATGGTAATTGTTGTATGAATTCCATCTCCCATATTAATCATGTGTTCACTAATTTGGACTTCTTCATTCGCCATGACTTGTATCCCTCCTATCATTACCTCCTTTGTATTGTCTTTGCTGATTGTCATTTCACTGTCAGTAGTAGGGTCAACAACTAATCTATTTTCATCTTCAATGCTAGTATGAACAATAGTCTTCTGGGTCTGGACCATAGTAGTATCAGTTTGAGATTGTATGTTTTTGTTTCTCATTCTTTCTTTAACTCTCATACTGTTTTCCTTCTGCTCTGCTGGTGTGTTTGTTTTTGTAGTAATTGTTTAAGCATCATTTACCTTACTTTGATATTGGTGATCTTTATTGTAACCCTTGGATTCTTCCTCTAAATGTTCCTTATTTAAGGGGGAAAATCTTGATCCTTGTCTTGATGTTCCTTCAATCTCTTTAGTTTGTTTTGCGTTCTTTGGTACCTATTGTTTCTTCCTCTCGGTTGAACAAACATCCAAGGACCAAAAGGATTTTCTTTACTTTTTTCAACATTGGATTGTTCTTCCATAGTATTGTTATTGCTGTTAACATTGATATGTTTATCTTCTTGGTTAGATTGAAAGACTTCTTTAGCGTGCCCATATATTCCACAATTGAAACAGATTTGTTGTATCTCTTCATATTCTATCTTTTGAATGAAATCGTCAATTCCCACACATGGAATAAGAGGATTGTTCAGATCGATAACAACTGCAATTCTTACAAATTTTCCACTCTCTCCAACTTTAGTATTGTAATCAATTTTGATGGCTCTTTCAATCGTATTTGCAATAGTTCTGATTAACACTGAATTATAATACCTGTACGGTAATCGAGGTAAACGCAGCCAGGCAATAACTTGTGAGGGGTGTTTTTCAGATGTGTTAAAGTTCCTCGACCATGGTTGAACAGTCAGGTAACTACCAAATATCATCCAAGGGCCATCAGTGAGAACTCTAGTATAGTCTTCAATATTTTCAAACTTAACTAAGTAGTAATCATTATCAAGATCAATTAAATTGAAATTTCCTATCGGCATCCATAACATCTGAATCCTGTTCATCAGCGCTTTATATCCAATCTTTTTTCCCAGCAGTCTCGTGATGATAACTTGCTTCATGTTTCGATCAATCAGGTCATGGATTCGCTTTGAAAAGCTTATTCTAGGAAAATCTCCAGAACTGTCCATGGTAACATCCCCTTCTTGGAAAAATATCTCTTCTTCAGGCATCTTGACTGGTGGGTTCTTGTTTAGGCTAGATCCTCTAGCAGTCATGGCAGCATAAGAGAGTTTCTCAGGACTCTTGGGGAGATCTTTCCTCGCAGTATCTTCTACTTGGGCTTCAAATTCAGTATGCATATTCTTTGTTTGCTGCATTATTCCCTCATCTTCAATTGTTAAATCCCGATTCTTTACTTTCTTTGTTTCTCTTTGATCTTCTTGGGCGCTATTGTTTTCATAACAGAAGTTTTCTATATAATGTTGATATTTTATACAAGGATAAAAGTAATTTTTATTTGACTCAATTGATTTGATAGAAAGTCGCTAGTTTTATTCAAAATAGAAAATATCCAAAATTACTATGAAGGTCTACAAGCATAACTATAAACCTAAATATAATTATGACATTTCCCTGTTACTATTAAGACAAAACTAGCCACTTAGATCACATAAGTACCAAAGAAGGAAAAAGTTAAAAAACTAATAAAAAACTCGAATAAAATAAAGATACGAACAAATCTATCTGCATCGGTAAACGAAACTCAAAAGGGGATGAAACTATTGAAAGACCACCGACAAATCGCAAATCACAGTCAAACGATGTGAGAAAACTATTCACGAACGCAAAACGCATATCCAAATCAATCAGAGGGTCCAAAGAAGGAAATATCATCATTATAATAAATAAGTGTCATCTTGATCAGTCGTGGCGATGTCAAATCTAACTCTGAGAAAAATATAAACAAAAATAACGGTAAAAACTGTAAACAATGGCAAAAAATCGTAAGCTACTAAAAGACAGATAAAAGCATGCCACAAAGGCATATATAAACGTGTCATAAAGGTAGAGAACATGCCACAAAGGTAGATATAGACATGTCATAAAGGCAGAGAACATGTCACAAAGACATAATTATTCTTATTAAAAAACCAAAAAAAAGAAAAAGATAACCGGCAGACGAGACTACCAGCATTAAAATTGGTGTCGTCGCCGGTTAAATAAAATTAAAGAAGAAAAAGTTGGATTGATTAATAAAATTTACACAAGTTGTAAAGAAGAAAAAAAGGGAAAAATAGATGAGTTCTCAATTAGATTTTTAAATATGTTTATTACATATAGGTTAATAGGAAGACCCATTACTATTTACTCTATTATAGGCATGATAATGTCCAAGTCCAACATTCATAACCCAAATAACTCAATTACAAGTTACCCAATTAGCAAATTAAAAGAAACCCACATGCTAGAAGCCCAAGGGAGTCCAACAAGACTGTGTGGTAGTCCATTAGCAACTAGGGTTTTAGAATTAAGCTACCAGCATCGCCTCATTAGGACCGTTGGATCTAAACCAATCCAATAGTCTATATCAAAGAAGCTTTAGGGTTTTCATAACTCCATATCCAATTTTTATGCAGGTGATTATATGTTGTTGGATCTGTTTGTAATCTAACGTCCCAAATTTATTGAGATTAGGGGTTTACCCTAAACATCACATAAGCCACTGTCATCGGTGAAGCTCAACCACTGATCTAATGGTGTGTTAGATGCATGTACAAACCTCGGAGCACCCCGACGTGCAATTTGTGTCATCACAAGCAAGGACACGATTATAAACAGTCCCCACAGTGCCCGTGTGGCTCTACCAAGAACTCATTATCCTTTGTCACAATAGAGAAAGACAACCCTAATGGTACAATTATTAGAGGCCATTGTAAAGAGACATCAACCATTCGGTGAATCCACAGAAATAGATCAATAGCGAGGAGATGTTCCTTCACCCCAAGGCTTCAATGCAAGACAAAAGAAGAAAAAGAGAGAAATAAAAAAATGAAGAAGATTTAAAAAAGGACATAGGATATAAAAGAATAAAAGTATACATGAGAGATTCATTGGAGCATATTAACAACCAAAACAGAAAAAAAAGAAGAAAAAAAAGGAAACCAAGTGTAATGCCCTAATCCAATATGACACATATTTGACCGATTAGTACATCACTCCGGACCACCAGAGTGGCTAACCCAAAAAAAATTACTTTTAAAAATAACCATAAAGTAATATTTAATAACCATTTAAATACCATAAAATGAAACCAATTAAATATACATTCATAGTACGGGGGAGCTCTCAAAAACAAGTATATCAAAACAATACAATCGAGCATTAGAATTCAAGTTATGACTTAAGTACAAGAAGGTCTATGACTAATACATGCCCTCTAAGAAAGTAAGACTCAAGACGTACTTCACTTCCCAACTGTCTGGAACGTCTGTAATGTAACCGGCTCTTCGAATGCTCCACATAAAGACCTGTGAACGAAAACAATATTTCGAATGTTGACCTCACTAACCCAGCGCCACACCAATAACGAAATCATACTAAAAGTTTTCATCAATTCTCATGCTATCAAGTGAAATAACTGAAGTGAGTATACATGTAACGCCCCATACCCGATCTAGGAGTCCAAGCTGGATACTTGAGCGTACATTAGATTTCAATTGTGTTGGACAAATCAAGATCCACATTACGAATATTTCATGTAAGAAAACAAATAAAAATCTCTTATTAATCAACACATACAACGTTCAATGTAACCAACATGCAATTAAATCTCAATTAAACATGGAAATATTACATTTAAGCGTTTAGGGGTATTTTGGTCATTTCACATAAAATAATAAATCAACAACTCAAATCACCCAATGAAGGTTACTACATGTTAAACAATGTCATAAGGAAGCAGCACGCAAAATTTCATACCAATCGGACATCAAACAATCACTCAATAGATCATACAAGATTAGTGACCTAAACGTAAATATGCAAAACTTTATGTATCAATCAATAACATGCAAATGAGGGTATCATTATGTAATTAAGTATTTTAAAGAAGTGATCACTCAAATCTTATTAAATTCCAATTTAAGAGTTTAAGTAATTAAGAAAATCAATTCATGGGTTAACTTGAACTCACATAATAATTCAGATGTCAAATTAGAATTTAAAAATACTTCAGACCTTTAATGAATACGATTTCACCTTTTTCCATTAAAGAAAACAACGAAGGGATAGATCTTTTCTTGAAAGGGATGGATCTTTTTTCACGGGGGATCGATCCTTTTGAAAAGGGGTCGATCATTTGCAAGACAAAAAGTTTGGGATCGATCCTTTCCCCTAAGGGATCAATCATTTTTTCTGAAAAAACTGCAGATTTGCTAAGAACGTGCATATTTGGTTATGTAATCACCCACATAAAAGTAATCATGGACTAGGAACATACTTGAATATTATTCAACCACTTCATATATGTCAAAACAAAGGTGTAGCATGCTTTATAATACAAGTCAATACATTAATCAAGGATTTGGCACCAAAAGTCAACAATTGCATAAAAGTTCATCTCAAGCACAAGTCACTTACACATTTTTGGCATTTAAGGTCGTTTCATGCAACCCAAGAGTCTAGCACACTTATTTTACCAAGTTACACTTAACTAAATGCTCAAACACTTCTATAGGGGTCTAAATTAACATTTGAGTAATCTCGTGCTTCAAGCAACATGTTCATACTTATAAATCCAATGTTAGTAAATCAAAACAAAATCAAATCCCAAACATAAATCCATTTATTAAAAACCAAAATCTAGCATTATAAATCCAACAAAGTGAATAATAGGTATAAGTCCCAAACGTGCCAAAATTACCACACAAAGTTTTCAAAACCACATACGTAAAGCTTTATGCCTTAGCCTTGCTTGATCACACGATGCCAAGCTCCTCGCCTCCAAACTCAACTCCAATCCTCTGAAAAATTTTAACAACGAGTGTGAGCTTATAAATCCTAGTGAACGACTAACATTCAAAGCAATGCACATAACCAAGATAAAGATCAATCATATATGTTTATATGTAACTTGTTCTTTACTCTACACATATAATTCAATATCTCATAATTGAATGATCAGCTAATATTTTCCAAATCACTTGATTTCCAGGTTAAAAAACATCAAGGACTATATAGTTCTAAAGCAATCACAAGCACACATGCACAATTACCTTCCTTGATAAGTCACAAAAGCACACATATTTTTCCATTTTAAGATCAATGGCTTTTGTTTAAAACACAGCTCACTCATTGGATAAATAGACTCCATACAACTCTCATTTTGCTTATGGACTCACATAGATCCAAAACCACGAATTACAGAGTAAACTCAATGCCCAACCTTACCCCGTATTTTCTTAAAGCAAAGCTCAATGTACCATCCAAATGCCATATAATCCTGAATCACACACTAATACAAAACATATAGAGTACTCTTTACTAGGCATGCCTTTCATATCCAAAGGTTCTATTAAGAATAATAACCAATTAATCCAATTCACCAAGAGTGGTTGTCAATGATGTATAATTTTCACATATCGATTCAAATACACTTTGAAACACACTTATGGATTTGGTTTTCATGATCAACCCACATATATGGACAGTGAGAAAGTTTAACTCATCCAATTCAAATCATAATACATATATAGATTTTCATAAAACCATTTCCAAAGTTTTATGCATCATTTACAACACATCACATTCACATTCTTATTTCCAACATAAGTGGCATCATATATAAATCAACATAATTCATATTCCATCATCATAATTAACCAAATAACAAAATATATATCAAAATTAACAAATTCAACATAACACAAACCTCAACCTTGAATCATGTTCATTTCCTAAGAATAAAAGCCACTCAACTTGATGTCCGAAAACCAAAAATGCTTCCAAACACTACCTTAACATTCACCAAACTCAAAGACCAAGTTTCATCAACCAACAACACAATAAGAACCTTGCAAAGCAAATTAACACATCAAAATATAATCAAATAGAATCCAATCTTATGTTTCCAAAACATAACTCAAACACCGAAAACATTACCGAAACGTCACTTTAGAAGCTCCAAATCGAAACACACAAATCTACACACTAAAAGCTGATAAACAACAACTAGAATCAGCATCTAACTCATCTAGAATCGAACAAAACAACATCTACAAACTAAATTCTCAGATTCCCAAAAATACCAAACATCGACATTGTTTTCAAGAAATCAATATTCAAATCATTTGCAATTGAAAACCAGATTTAATATGAC